ATATACACACACACACACACACACACACACACACACACACACACACACACAAAAGTGAAGTGGGGTCTAAATACTTTCTGAATGCACTGTAAATATGAGTCAGTTGCCAACCGTCTGAATTTTGATCGTGCGTCTTTGGGGAATGCTGCGAAGGTCATAGTTGTGAAAAAATGGTCACAAATCACTTTTTTTTCCAGTGGCGTCGTAACTTTTGAATGGTCTTGAAATAAAACGGTGGTTTATGCTGCTAATTCTGAGAAGGGGAAAAGCTGTTTCAGAAAACGTAGCTTGCCTTTTCCAAATCCAGCAGCTGACTTAGATGCTAAGAAACTTGAAAAGACAAGAGTTGGGGCAGCTCAGCTTACCATCTCTCGAAAGAGAGGATTCTGGCGTTTCCTTTTTCCCCCCCTTCTCTCACCGCCTCGATCTGTTTTTCAGAGGTTCGGATGGCCGCCGTGGAGGCTCTCTGCATGCTGGCGCAGTCCTCGCCCTCTTTTGCCGAGAAGTGCCTCGATTTCCTGGTCGACATGTTCAACGACGAGATCGAGGAAGTGAGGCTGCGGTCGATCCACACCATGAGGAAGATTTCCAACAACATCGCGCTGCGAGAGGATCAGCTGGACACGGTGCTGGGTGTCTTAGAGGCAAGGATCTTCCCCCCTCCCCTCCCCCCTTTGTCCTTCAATTTTTTGGGATTGGCTTGCTGTCCTTTCAATTCCACCAGGAACATGGCTATAATCCTGAAAGAGGGGTGCGGTGGCCTACAGGTGGCGCTCTCACCCCACGATCAGGCCTAGATAGAGGCAGATAATTCTCTCTGTCTGAACAGGACGAGAATATAGCTGCTGAACACAACTCCGCATTGGTGACAGGAAGGGCATCTGGCCAGTAAACACTCTGATAGCTCCATTCAGTTGCCCAGGCTCCGCCCCGCAAGGGATTATGGGATCGTTAAAAGAGAGAAGATTGCTATGACCGTGAAAAGGATAAATTTCCTCATTTTCATTTGGTTGGGATCGTTGGGATCCGTGAACCAGGATCAAAGAGTTGAATTCTGCTTCTTTTTGAGTTCTGGCTTAGCATTCTAACCGCTAACTGTATTCGGCTGGAGCATGTTACTTATAAGAGGGGTCCACAACCCCTGGGCCATGGACCATCACTGGGCCGCGGCATGCCAGAAACCGGGCCGCTCAAACAAGAGAAGCCCCATCTGCGGGTTGCCAGCAGCACACGAAACCACACCCCTTCTGGTCCGTGGGAAAAAACCTCTCTGCATGGAACCGGTCCCTTTGTGCCCAAAAGGTTGGGGACCACTGATCTTCTAAGGTCAGAGGTCGAGGTTCCCTAGATGTGTTGGGACTATACTTCCCTTCTGCCCACTTCCGGCATGACCAGTAGAAGCTTGGCAGTATAAACTGAACATCTGGATGGATGGATTATGTCAGGGTTCCAGAAATTATCCGTTCCAATCAGTAACATAATCTCAAAGTGCTTTATTAAAACAGAAACTTGGCACGTCTGTGGAATTCCGAAACTAAAGTTTCCTCCCCAGACTGTTGAGGTAATTCCCCGTTAGGAGAATGAGCGCATACAGGGAGACGTATTTGAGAGAAGTGTTGGAATAATACACACACAGAACACAGACACACTGTACAGTAAATGTAGGTTTTTACTTCCAGAAAGTTTAAGCAAAGTTCAAAATAAGCAGTCCAAAAGTCATTCACAGGTAAATCAGTCAGTTTTTCCATCCAGGGATAATCCAAATATCAAAGTCCAGTGTCAAAAAACAGTTCAGTATCAGACTTACATTAAATCCAGTAATATCAATCAATTAGAAGAAATGGAGCAACGCCAATACTTTCCAACAGAAGGAAACAGAGATACACTTACACTCTCTTCTGAGACTAAGACTAAAACAACCCAGGTTTCTGGCTCCATCTTATGGCTGTTTGAGAAACCACACCCAATTACAGTTTTGCATTCCCTTAAAGATATAGTACTAAAATGTTTATCCTGGTTTATATATTTCTAACCCAAATACCTGTTAGGTGACTTATATTCTTAACACAGACTTCCCACAAGACTCAACCCACACCCACCCCTTTTCTTTCACATCATAAATCCCGTGAACCAATCACCCTTCGGCTACAATTCTTGCTGCACCCTAGAGAGGGACCTTGAAGGTTTTATATATCTATTTTGTCTACTGAAAGCTACTCAAACAATAGCAGGCCCCTTCCATTCCCTGCAGCTTTGTGGCAGCTTTTAATAAGGATTCCAAAGCTGACAGATGGTTTGATTGATTACGTGCCATCAAGTCACCAACTCTTCGCAACCACACAGATTTTCTCCGTGATAATCTGTCCCTAATCTAGTCTTTTAGATCTTCCAATGGTCCCTGCATCACCATTGTAACTGAGTCCATCTTTTTCTTGGTTCCTCTCCCTTTCTCTTTCTCTTTCTCCTCCTTTCCCCTCCCACTCCTTCCCAGCCCTTCCCCTGCCCTCTCCTCTCCCCTCCCCTCTTTTCCCTCCCTCTTTCCCCTTCCCTTTCCCCTCTCCTCCCCCTCCCCCCTCCCTTGCCCTCGCCTCCTCTCTAATATCCCCCTTCCTCTCCTTCCCTCTCCTCCCTTCCCCTCCTCTCTTTCCTCTCCCTTCTCCTCCCCGCCCCTCCTCCTCTCCTCTCCTTCCCTTCCCGTTCTCTCTCCCTCTCTTTCTCCTCCTCCCTTTTCCTAGCATTCTAGCCTCCTCCATAGAAAAAGGTCTTTGCATATCGTCTCCAAAGTAAGGTACATTTTGAGCCTGGTCATTTGTACCCCAAGTGAGACCTCTGGGTTAATTTGTTGGACCAGCCATCCATTTTTCTTGACTATCTCTAGTCCAAGAGCCTTCTCCAACGCCAGAGCCCTTTCTTCAAAGTCACATTTTCACCTGCCTTGGGGGAAAAAAAATATTATGGTCTTTGTAGTCCAAGATCTTCACATCTGCTCTACTACGTGCTAATCTGTGTCCTATCTCTTGACCACTTCTTCCTTTACTGTGGTGGTGTGGCCAGCCAGTAAGAGCTGGCGGCAGACTCAGACAATGAGGAGGTTGGGGAGGAACATGGTCCAGTTCTGGAGTCTGGAAAAGGCTCTGTGTTGGGGACAGAGTTGGGGCCAGGGCCGTCGGACGGTTATCAGCTGCCCTCCGAGTCGGAGATCAGTGAGGCAGAAGAACAGCTGGAGCCTGTTCCCAGTGTGCACAGGCACAGAGCTGCCAGGAGAAGGGAACAGCTAAGGAACAAGGGTCGACTCGGGAGTAAAGACACAGGTGGACGGGGAATGGCCCCTCCCATAGGGAATAAAGAGCGAAAGGGGAGTGGGGCTTGCAGGAGACAATTAGTTCAATTCATAAGGGTGAAGATCTGTTCCTGACTTCTTGCCTAGTATTGTCTGCTACAGTGTGGCGTGTGGAAGATTATCGGCCTGGCAACTCTCCCAGCCTGATAAAGGTCTGTAGTTGTGCAATCTCTTGAAAGACTGTTAGCCGGGACTTTACTAGAGAGGAATTCACTTTAAACTAAATAAAAGGGGTTTTATCTGGACGAGGAGTCGGCTTTTGAGATCTTGGTCAGAACACTTAGTGGATGCTTGGTTTTAAAACGCAGAGGCTTTCTACCACTTCGCCATTCAAGCCTTTCCGTCTGTTGCTTTAGGATTCCTCCCGAGATATCAGGGAGGCTCTGCACGAGCTGCTGTGCTGCACCAACGTCTCGACCAGGGAAGGCATCCATCTTGCCTTGGCGGAGCTGCTGAAAAACCTCGCCAAGTATCCGACGGACAGGGACTCTATCTGGAAGTAAGTCTTCCTTTGTCGCCAAAAAAAAAAAAAAAAAACAGAATACAGGGAGTCCTTTGACTTCACAGCCGCAAGGGAGACCGACGTTTTCCCTTGGGAAGCGAGACAATTGTTCGCGTGAGTTTTGCCCCCTTTATGAACTTCCTTTCCAGAGGTGTAAGAGAATCACTGCAGTTGTGAAGTGAATCTGACTCCCCCACCCCCATTGGCTTATCAGAAGGTCGCAAAATGGGGATCCCGTGATTCCCCGGGACACGCCAACCATCATAAATACGTGCTGCCAACTCATAAAATGTTTCTGTGGTCTTTTTAGAGTTGCCAACCGAAAGGGAGGGGGAAGCAGTGGGCAGCTTACATTCCGTAAATGTTTTCAAAGATAGTAACTAGGCGACTGAAGTTTCTGCCTCGCAAAATTCAAACTGGAGAGCATGATTGATGACTCTGGGCTATGGATGTGTCCCATTGGAGAATATGAATTATGATACACCCAGAGGGTGGGGGGAAAACCAGGGTTAAGGGTGACAATGAATTAGGTGTCTCAGAGTCGGCTATACCCAGGCAGTGCCGGACATGTTAACTCCCAATAAATCTTATTTAAGTTTTGGATGTTCAGCTAGAGACTCATGATTTAAATGGGGTTAAGTGTCGGAATCCTGACACGCGCGAGTTGCTAAGTATCCGAATTTTGACCACGTGAGCATGGGGATGCTTCAACGTCCGTGAGCAGTGGTGGGTTTCCAGATTTTGTTCCTATCGGTTCTGAGAGCATGTGCATGCCTAACACACCCACTTTGCGCGCACGCACTAGAGGGCTCAAAAACCGTGCTCTGTATCAACGCTGGTGAGTTGAGCTGTTTTTTTCATCTAAGCTGAGGTGCGGCTATCCCTTCTGCTCCGCGGATCAGCTGAGCTAAAAAACAAGGGAATATAGGCGTGTTAAAAATCAGACAACCGGAGACACGTGAACAATATAGAAGAGCTTTATTATGAAGCTTTTGCAAAAGGGAATTCTGCCCTTGGGCAGAAGACGTGGTTCCCAGAAAGGCTGGGGCTTATAGACAGATTCAAATATACAGTCTCTGCCCCTTTCTGGGTTCACAATCTATCCAGTTATGTATCTCCCTACGCAACACCCCTGTTATTGTAGCATACCATCTGTTTCCTCGTGTCCTGTTTACCCGCTTCCATTTCCAGTAATCTCCCATCATTAACATGACACTGGACAGCGTAACCTACCAAATTATGTAACCTTTATAAAAAACAATAGAGAATTCTTACATAATATTCCAGTAAATTATCTCAGGTTAACACAGAGGTGAAAAGTGGCATTACCATTGCTTTATATTTTCTCAGGTATAATTCTACATATCACCCTAGGAGATGTAACGGCGGGTGGGTGGGGACAGCCAGAGGTGTGGGTATTTGTCGGTTCTCCGAACTACTCAAAATGTTTGCTACCAGTACGCCAGAACCGTTCTGAACCGTCGGAATACCACTTCTGGCTGTAAGTGTGGAAAAAACAGTCACAGATCACTTCTTTCAATGCCATTGTAATTTTGAATGATCTCTAAATGACAGGTTGTAAGTTGCTGTCAGGATTCCGGCAGTGACCCCCATTTAAATCATGAGTCTCGAGCCAAACTTCCAAAGGATTTATTGGGAGTTAACACGTCCAGCACTGCCTGGGTGTAGCCGACTCTGAGACACATCATTCATTGTCACCCGTGACCCTGGTTTTCCCACTTCACCCCCTGAGTGTATCGTAATTCATATTCTCCAATAAGGCACATCCATAGCCAAGAGCCATGATGGCGAACCTTATGGCACGTGTGCCACAGGTGGCACACAGAGTAATTTGTGCCGGCACGTGAGCCCCAAGCAAACCTACCTCATGGCACATGCGCGCACCTCCCAGCTGATTTTTGGGCCTTTTTCATCCTGCCAGAGGCTTGAGGGAAGCCTCTGCAGGCTTTGCAGGCCGAAAAATAGGCCCGTTTTGTCACTTCCTATATTTCCAGAAATACGGAAGTGACGAAACGGGCCCATTTTTTGGCCTGCAGAGGCTTTCCTCAAGCCTCTGGCAGGATGAAAAAGGCCTCAAATGAGCCAAAAATCAGCTGGGAGGCGCAGTGCAGGTAAGGGGGTGGGGGGAGGGAGTTGTGCGCACATGCGCAGGGGTCATGGGGGGGGGGCACGTGCATTGCCTTCTGTGTGGCACAGGAGCCCAAAAAGGTTAGCCACCACAGGCCAAGTGTCATCAATTATAACTCATCAACTCATAAAACATTTCTATGGTGTTTTTAGAGTTGCCATTTAGGGCTACCTGTGTTCTAACTCTTGGTAAATAATTACTGTAGCCTTTAAAAAAAAAAGATTAAAGTTTGAAATCCTAAGAGAGTTTGCTGTTTGGTTACATTAAAAGGGAACTTTCTCTGCTTTGAATCTTACGTTTTTTTTTCAGGTGCTTAAAGTTTCTGGGAGGCAGGCACCCTACTCTGGTGCTCCCACTCGTCCCTGAATTGTTGGGGACCCACCCTTTCTTTGACACCCCCGAACCAGACATGGATGATCCGGCTTGTATCCTTTCCTCTCCATACACCTGCCCTGCAGTTAATGCTTCAGAGGAATTCAGATTTACCTGCACATAACTACTTGTGATTTCCAAGCAGCCGGTAGGACAGAAAGTTTTGAGTTGCAATGGGTATGCAAATCCCCCTTTGGGGCCAGTTCGTGGTTTCCTGGGGTATCGTGCAAAGAAACCATCAGTAAAATTGCAGCTGCATTCTAACATCTATTCGGTTGCTTGCTTCTTTAATCTGGAAAGCTGGTTAGGTGACTTCGGGCCAATCGCCAGGAGACCCTGAATTCTGGTTCTGCCTTAGGCATGAAAACTGGCAGGGGTGAGTTTGGGCCAGGAAGGCTGAGTCATGTCAAGCCCAAAATTGACATACGCGTAGCCATTTTATTTTGCCTTATTATATATTCCTTTTCTTTCTTTCTCTTTGCTGGTTATGGGGGGAAGGGTTTCGGACTTGCCACATTCCTAAGGTGGGAGGAATGGAGATAGAGAGAGTTGTTTAGGCTAGATGGTTCTCCTTCCCGTGGGAACGAAAGCTGAACCTGCTGAGGCCTGGAGGTGGAGATTGATGACACCAGGCAAACCTTGATTTACTTCTTATTGGGGAATGTGACTTTGGGGGGTTGTTTCTAACTTCCAATAGTATGTGGTGTAATTCCGGGCTGTGTCAGATCCGGAACTACAACAGATTTTGCTAATTTGACGCTTTCCGAAATAACAATTAATTGTTTTGGGGAAATGGACTTTGCTCTTTTCTTTTTAAATGGATTTCATCCCTTGGAAACCTGACATGTCAACCTTGAGCCAGTCAGGATCGAACTGCTGGCAGTGGGCAGAGAGTCAGCCTTGCTATTCTGCATTCTAACCACTCTGCCCCCCAGGGCTCACCTATTCCTTGTATTTCTGATTCTGTGCTATCCTAAAATCACTGGCTTTGCTCCTGCAGTTGTCAACCCATTTTTTTCCCTCCCTCTGGCCCCTTAAAATACGTCTGTTTTAACTGCTTTTACAATCAAGGACCTGAAGTCTCTTCCCTCCCTTAACCTGAGGCACAGATATCGCAGTCTTGGTTCTTATTTTCAACGCGGCTAAATCCTGCCCGACGATGCCAGCGCTCTTCTCTGACCACACCTTCCGGCACTACGCTTACCTTCGGGATAGTCTCTCGCACCTTGTGCCGCCTTTGAGGGTAAGTCGTTGGGATGAACTCTTGGCATCCAAGGACGGTGCTTTTTACAACTACACAGCTACACCTTTTACAAAAACAAAATTTACAAATGTATTTGTTTGTCAAACATGTACAAGATAACAAGTTATAGGTATGAACACAGACAAGAACGAAGGGAGTAAATAGAGATAAATGGGGACAGTAAGACAGGGCCCGCTAGTGCGCTTATGCACGCCTCCTTTAAGGCCCTCTTAGGCATGGGGTGAGGTCCACGGTAGACAGTTTGAGGTTGAAGCTGCGAGGGTTCGAGGCTGGGACAACAGAGTTGGGTAGACGTTGATCACTCTGTTGCTGAAGTCGTATTTTCTGCCATCGAGTTTGGAGCGGTTAACTTTGAGTTTGTCTCGGTTGTTTGCCTATGTGTTATTGTGGTTGAGGCTGAAGAAGTCGTTGACAGGCAAGATGTTATAGCAGACAATCTTGTGTACTATGCTTAGCTTGGACCGCAGGTGGTGCAGTTCTAGGTTGTCCTGACCCAAAATTTTGATCCTGGAGGCATAAGGGAATTCTATTGTGAGTGGAGGGGTAAAGAACTCTTCTCGAGAAATACCTCTGAACCCGTTCAATCGTGTTTAATGTCTGATATACAGTGCAGGTTCCAGGCAGACGAGCTGTATTCAAGAATTGGTCTGGCAAAGGTTTTGTATGCCCTAGTTAACAATTCAAATGTTGCCGGAGAAGAAGCTTGGCAAAATAAGGCTAACAATTCTTAAAGCCTTTTTGGCAATGTTATTACAGTGAGCTCTGGGGCTGTTGTGGTTAGCAGGCTGAGGAGAGCGAGGACTCAGATGAGGGGCCAGGACCATTAGGGAGTAGACTGCTGCCTTCAGAGATTGTGGGGGCAGCGATGAGGAGGTTGCTGAGGAGCCTGTGCCAAGTGCATGTGCCCGCAGGGCTGCTCGTAGGAAAGAGTAGCTGCAACAGCACAGGCGACTCGGGAGTAAGGCTGCAAGATAATGGCCCCTCCTTCAAGAAGATAAAAGGTAGCTGTGCAGCGACCGCTCTTTGCAGGAAGCAAAGACGTTTTGAAACTCAGCCTTGTGGACATTCCAGTTGTCATTTGAAGACTCTTGTGTCGTAAACGATTTCTTATCTGTTGTTGTTTGGCAGTCTTGCAAAAACCTGGCAAGGCTTTTTCTTGTCGGAGCTAATTAGTTGGAAGCAGCCTTTTATCTGTGAAGAAACAGAATTCGTGAATGAAACATTAAACGGTTGTACTGCTGCCTTTGTCCTGCGTTTGCTCTCTTGGGAACAGGTTTAGGTCAGAACAGGGGCCTAGATTATTTAAGATAAGTAATATACAACCACAAGTTTACAAATACAAGTTTCATAAGTCCTCAACTTAATAGCATTTGGTTTTCTTTTCTCTCTCTCTCTCTTTTTTTTTTTGCTTTTCACCTAGCTGCCTGGAAAGAAGATGGCCGCTTCTTCTGGGCCTGCCAGCCTCATCCTTCAAGAAGATCCTTCTCAGGAATTTCTACAGCAGAGCCTCGAAAGAGTTTTCAACCTTCAGCACCTGGATCCGCAGGGCACCCAGGAGCTGCTAGAATTCACCATTCGGTACTGGCTTTAGAAAACGAGAGATGTCGCCCAGTTTGGCGGCCTCCACAGAATTCTCTGCATCGTTTTCTGTTTCTTATTCCTCAAACCCTTAAAACGGGCTGCCCATATTCAGCGGTGTAGGTTGGTGTCCAAAGTAGCTGCAGAAATCCATCTTCCAGTTTATCCTTGGGATAAACTTGGGAAAAGTTCAGCCGAGCCTGTCTTTGAGAGGCTAAAGAAGCCAAAATGCTGATTGTTTCTTGCTAACAGAGCAGAATTTTCCTGCTATTTTCTCTGCCCTTGGAGATAACAGTGGCTCAGTGGTTTAAAACAGTGTGGTCGCCAATCAGTGGGCCCGGGATCACTGGTAGTCCGTGAGAGAATTTTGGTGGTCCGCAGAGAAATGTCACCCCTAAAGCATCCCCCAAAACAATTAATCCAGGCTGCGCGGGAACACAAGGCTGCACCGCCCACATGGCCCGCGGGAACACAAGGCTTGCGTCGCTTGCATTGTGAACAACGTGAGGTAGTGAGGGGAGGGGGGAAAGGGCAGAGGGGGGAACTTGCCCCACTCGTTCCACATGCCTGGCCTGGCCACCGGGCTGCTTCTTTCCGCTTCTTTCTTCTTCTGCTTTTGGCTGCACGCAAGGAAAGCAGCCAAAGTCTTTCTTTCTCTCCCCCAAACTCCGCCAGAAATGAGTCTTTGGGACCCTGCAAGGCCTCCTGCTCCAAGAGGCTGCGCCGGCAAAGATTTCTGGCAGAGTTTGGGGGAGGGAAAGAAAGACTTCTGCTGCTTTCCTTGCATGAAGCCAAAAGTCTCTCTCTCTTTGTCTCCACCCCCCCCCCCCCCCCCCCACAAGAACGGAGCTGGAGACGGTATCCTGCGATCCCAAATAAAGAATGATCGACCGGTAGGAAAACGGGGTGGGGAATTTTCCTGCAGACTTTTTTCCTGCAGCCACCGTCAGTCGAAATTCATATTAGTGGTCCGTGGGATTTAAAATTATACGTTTGGTGGTCCCTGAGGTCCAAAAAGTTGGTGACCCCGGCTTAAAAGATGCCAGAGAAAATCTATGCGGTGGCAGTTTTGAGTCCTACCACTGCATAATGGAGTAAGCTCCTGTCCCTCGCTCTAGCTTCTGCCCACCTAGCAGTTCGAAAGCGTGCAAATGCGAGTAGATCAATAGGTACCACTTGGGTGGGAAGGTAACGACGTGCTGTGTTTCACTGCATGCTCTATGCTGCGATATGGTGTCACGCTGGAAATGTCACTGCTAGCGCAGTGGCCTAGAAAAAGAGACGACTACCCCGCCCTAAAGTCGACTATGACTAGTAGAGTAAAGGGGGCACAATGGCTCAGCGGTTAAAGACACTGAGCTTGTCACTGGAAACGGGCAGCCCAAGTTTGAGACCCAAGTGCTGCATGACGGGGTGAGTTCCCATTCCTTACTCCAGCTCCTGCCCTCATTTGCAAGCAGTTTACAAAGCCTGCAAATGTGAGTAGATAAATAGGCACCACTTTGGTGGGAAGGTAAACAGCGTTCCGTGCTCCTTTGACCATGCTGGGCACAGAAATTGTCTTCGGACAACGCTGGCTCCCTCTGCTAAGAAACAGAGTCGTGAGCATTGCTCAGCTGGACAGGGGAAATAACACTAATGCTAATTTGCATCACAGGAAAAGGTATGTAAGGCCAGTGTTCTCACAGACACAATGCAGAGCGCGCTGACAATGTCTCCTCTAACGGTGATGAAATGTTTGCAACCAAATTTCCCACTCGGGAGGCTCAAACCAACAGCCCAACTAACCAACCCGAGCTACTAATATTCAAATAGATTTCAAATCCTGACCTCTAGCGTGGCAAACCTGCAGGGACTCTTTTATATGCGTATACCTTTTCTTTGGCCCAGGGACCTCCAGAGGTTTGCAGAACTGCAGTCTGACTTAGCAGGCCTGGCTGACTTCTCTGCCGCTTACCTACGCTGCCAGCTCCTTCTCATTAAGGTACGCATTTATAACAGCTGTGTGTTTCTTTACTCTTGGTCTAATAAGTTAGGAAATCACATGGAACCAGCCATTCCGTTTCAGTCCACCTATGGAGAGTCTCTGTCATCCATGCCTTGGTTGCCCCAAAGATACTTTTTTTCAAGAGGCAACAGGACTTTCTGGTTATATCGTTGAAGATGTTTCACTTCTCATCCAAGAAGCTTCTTCAGCTCTGACTGGATGGTGAAGGAGAGAAGGACTGATAATCTTTGCAGAACAGCTGGTCATTTGCATCCTTTTTAGTGAGTCGTTGAGGCCACTTGGAGATTTGTCTGTGTCCACAGGGTCAGTTGAGTAGTGCAAATGGATGTGGAGCCTTAGAACTGCTGAAAGGACTGTATTGTAGACTGGAGATAAATGATGTCGTATCCCTCCCACTCTGTTGAGGGGGGGCTGTTCAGGTTTGACCTAGATGGCCTCTTTGACCCCTCTTTCAAACCAGCGGTCTCTTTGTCCAAAATGCTCTCTTCAAAAGATTGACCTTTTTTTTTTTAAATGAAGATACAGACTGCTGAATCTTATCCGGATGGTTTTGTTCTTCTGTGTTGTCCTATGAGGCCTCCAAGTGGCCTCGACGACTTTCAGAGGGAATGCAAATGGCCAGCTGTCTGCAAGGAGTATCAGTCCTTCCTTTCCCTGCCATCCAGTCAGAGCTGAAGAAGCTTCTCTTATGAGAAATGAAACTGTCATGCCCCTGTCGGGAGGAGGAAGACAAACAACTGACAGGGAGTGGGAGTGTGGCTCCGTTGGCTGTGGAGGAAACCGGAGAAGGGCAAAGTCCAGCTGGGAAGAGTAGGGGAGAGGTAGAACAAGGGAGAGGGGGTTCAGAGGAAGACCCAGGCCCACCCCTTCTTCATCCTAGGGCACCCAAGGAAGAACGGAGAAGGGAGCAACGTGGGTTGCGTGGCTTACGGGGGAGGAAAGGGCCCTGATTCCTTTCATTAGCCACAGCTGGGAATGAGAGTTTAAAAGAGATGCAAGTTGAGTGCGGTGTCTGCTGGGAGCAAACGTAATTTATCTTGTGTTGACTTTGGTAATCTGCGTTCCTGGCATCCTCCCAACCGTGTTGAGTTACTGCTGTGCCTTCACGTCTGGAATTCCTTCTCCTGCCCTGCCGGACTGATTACCTCATCTTGCCTTAATTGTTGTAATTACAGTTTTTGTTGACCATATTTTGGACTTGATTCTCTGCAGCCAAAGGCTGTTCTGGAAGTTTTTCCCAGCCCAGAAGGTAACCGGGACATTGGGGGCAAAGTTGGAGCAAATTAAGGGACTCCTACGGATTATCTGACTGTGTTGCCTTTGTGCCACGCCCCTTTGGGTCATCACAGAAACATTTAAAAAAAACAAAAAACAGAAAGTCCAGTTGCCTCTTGAAAAAAATATTTTGGGATAATCATGATCCGGATGACGGAGAATCTCCATTGACAGACCCAAGAATCAACCCTCCGACGTGCAGTCCAAGGTCCCTTTGGCCTCACCTGTGAGATCCGGGCCTTTCCATCGCACAGGTGGTTCCAGGGGGGGACAATGTACCCCACGCGTTGGGGGGGAAAAAAACTCTGGGTCTCGTTTTATTTTCAGGCCCTGCAGGAGAAACTCTGGAACGTCGCAGCTCCCCTGTACGTGAAACAGAATGCATTGGCCTTAGCTGCGGCTCGGCAGGTATGGCGGGAAGGTGGGTTGGGCTGGGTTGGGTTATTTATTGATTTATTTTGTGTTAAACCGCTAGCCAGAAACAAGTCACTTGGGGCTCATTCTTAGGGATAGTAATCGGCAGACCAACAAACGGGGTCGGACTTTGCCTCTCTTCACAGTCGCGCAGGATGTTGTTATCTTGTGGGGTGGGGGAGAGAACCACACCTCTGGGTGGGAGCAGGGAACTGTTTGGGTTGGGTATCATTGGCTCAGGGGTGGTAGGAAGCCAAGAACAAAAGAGAATATTTGTAGCTCCAGGTTGAACTGCAGTCTGTCTGTCTGTCTGTCTGTCTCTCTCTCTCTCTCTCTCACACACACACACATTATCTCTACATCTATCTATTTATCTCTATCTGCAATATATCTATCTATTTATCTCTATCTGCAATATATCTATCTATTTATCATTTATCCATCTATTCTCTCTCTGTCTCTCTCTCTCATCTATCTCTATATCTCTACATCTATCTATTTATCTATCTAGCAGTATCTACCGGTATCTACTGCTTATCTATTTATCTATCATCTATCTATCATCTATATCTCTATATCTATCCCTCTGTTCTCTCTCTCTGTGTGTGTGTGTCTGTCTCTCTCTCTCTCTCTCACACACACACACACATTATCTATCTCTATATCTATCTATCTCTACCAATA